ATTCCACTGAGCCATCTCCCTGGCCCCCACAAATAATTTTTAAAAAAATTTAAAAAAAACTTGAGCACTAACTTCTCTATTAAATGGACTACGCAAAATCAGCAGTACAATTACCCAAACTATTATACATAGTATACGAATATATCTTTTTCCGTCTTTCTTTTGTCTTTTCCTCATTCCAGTTTATCCTTCCCATTGAACACATTATTCCCTTTCAGAGTATCTATTGTGCCTTTCAGATTTTGTTTTCTTTCAGGTTCTCATACTAGCAAGATGATAAGATGTTTGCATATGCAGGTCTGACTTATTTCACTTACCGATGCAGGCTCTAGTTGCATTCATTTACCTACAAAAGCCTCAAATTTATCTTCTTTGTAGCTGAGTAGTACTCCCTTGTATAAAATACCACATCTTTTTTATTCCTGCTTCTTTTGATGGGCATTTGGGTTCTTTCCAAGATTTAGTTAAGACAAATTGCACTGCCATAAACATGGGGGCACATATATCGTTGTGGTATGGTGTTTTCAGTTCTTTTGGAAAAATACCTAGCAGGAGAATAGCCGACTTGAATGGGACCTCAAACAGTAGCTTTTGGAGGAAGCTGCACACTGATTTCCCCAGTGCTGTGTCCATCTGCACTCCCACCAACAGTGAAGAAGGCTCCCCCGCAGCCCATTCCCTCATTTGCTGTTGGTTGACTCCTTCGTGACAGCCATTCTTTATGGTATCAGATGGAATCTCAGCATTGCTTTAAATTTGAATCTCTTGAATGGCTAATGATGTGGAACATTTTTTCATATGTTTATTTGCCATTTGTATTTCTTCCTTTGTCAAATGTATGTTCGTCTCAAATGCCCATTTTTGGATTGGGTCTTTGAATTTTGGAGGCCAGATATTTTTAAATTCTTCATATATTCTAGATAGAAGTCCTTTATGTGAGGGAGAGTCAGCTATAACTTGTTCCCAATTCTTAGCTTTTCTCTTTACTCTGTTGAGGATTTCTTTTGGCGTGTAGAAACTTTTCAAAAAGGTGAAATCCCAATTGCTGATTCTGTAAAGTTTTTCCTGCACAGTGTAGGTTTCGCTCATAAACTCTCTGCCTATCTCTATGTCTTTGAGATTTCTTCCTACTAAAGTATAATTTCAAGTGAGGGGTTGCGATGCCTCTGGCCTTTCCTTTGTTCTTCAGCATTTCTTTTGCTCTTCTAGGTTCCTGCTGGTTTCAGATGAGTTTTAGGAATGTATTCCCGAGATCTGTTAGGTGTACTAATGGTATTTTAATCAGGATTGCATTAGTTTCCTCCGAAAGACTAAGTGCTTCAATTTTTTTAAGAATCAGTTATTTAATTAGGTTCTTAGTAAGAGATTTAGAACACTAATTTATGAGGATAAATCAGAGCAAAAACAGATCACAGGTAGCCCTGGAGCTGAGGAACAGCTTTGATTTTTGCTAAAATCTATGAGTCCACGGATTTCTGATCCACCGTGCACTGCTCTGAAATCTGGTGTCTCTGTCAGTGTTGAAGATCTCGCCCTCCTGGTGTCTGGCTTTCTGCAGCTTCTTCTTCTTGAAGTAAGCATTAGTGAAGTGTTTGAGGATTTTCACTTTGCTGATATCAATTTTTGAAGAGGTGGCAATAACAAATTTCTGGTGTGTTCTTCGTAGAGGTACATGATTAAGGCTAAGAGGCCCAGTCACAAGTAGCAAGTCACTGGTCAACTGCTTCAAGAAGACCACCTTCTTGCCTCTTTGACGCCAGTGAGGATGATCAAGATGGTGCAGCAAGCAATGCTAGCTTGAAGTTTCTGCACACGCTGACTGAAGGGTTTCTTGCTGTGGCTCAAAAGCTTTCAGGGCACATCTTCAGTAGGGTCATATCCAGGCATTTTTCAAAGCTTAACCACCAAGGTTAACCACCATTTTTGTCCCCACAGACTTATTCTTCTGATTGTAGCAGGAACTTTCTCCTTTTTCTTCTCCACCTTTGATTTAGCAGCTGTGTACTTTCTCTTGTACAAAGCCTTTCTGGAATATATATCAGATCGGGAGTATCTACCAATTCCTCTAAGCAGGACAGGATTTCGGCTGCTGTGGGGTTGCCGCTTCTTGGACTTTTGTGCCTTCACCTTACCCTTTTCACCAGTACCACTGGCAGCAGCCTTCTTGGCTTTGGGTTTCTTCTCTTTAGTGTCTGGCTTCTCAGTTTTTTCACCCGCCATCTTCCACGATGGGAAAGAGCAGTGCTTCAATTTTAATATTTCAATCTTTATCAACTTGACTGTACTTCTATGCGTGGTGAATGGCATGGATCTAATTTTAGCCTTCACTATGGAGAAAGCTGGTTTCTTTAGCACCATTTATTAAAGAGGCTGTCTTTCTTCCAGTGAACATGTTTGGTTCCTCTATCAAAGATAAGGTGGCTGAGTGTGTTTGTAGCTGCATCTGCATCTTCAATGTGTCCCATTGATCCTATTTTTTTTTTGTCAGTACCATGCGGATTTTATCATAGTGACTTTGCAGTATGATTTCAAGTCAGGGATTGTGGTGCCGCCTACCTTAGCTCTATAACCTAGATTTGCTTTTGTTATCCTAGGTCTCTGCTGGTACCAGATGAATTTTGGGAATGTTTTCCTTAGATCTATGAGGCACACCAATAAATACTGTGGCATACCTCATAAATCTAGTAGTATTTCAATTTAAAGTGAGGTATTTTAATCAGGATTGCATTGAATCTGTGTAACTACTTTGGGAGTATGCCCTTTTCATATTGTTCATTCTTCCTATCTAGGAACAAGCAATGTTTTTCAATTATCTGAAATCCTCTTTGAACTCTTTTTGTCAGAGTAGTGTAATTTTCACTATATAAATCTTTCACTTCCTTTGTGAGACTGATGCCTAAGTATTTCACTGTTATTGTGAATGGCATGTTTTCCCTCATTTTTCTCTCAAGTGGGTTTCTTGTTTGTGTATAGAAACACTGTTGGTTTTTGAGTGGTGACATTGTATCCTGCTAGGCTACTGAATTTGGTTATTAAATGCACAAGTGTCTTGGTGGAGTTTTTGAGTGTTCTATGTAAAGTATCATGTCATCTGCAAATAATGATAATTTCATTTCCTATCATTAGTCCATTTACTTTTATCTCTTCTCTAGTTGCTCAGGCTAATTTTTCTGGACCTACATGGAACATGAGTGGTGATAGTGGATATCGTTGTGTTGTTTCTGATTTTAAAGTGAAGGCTTTTAGTCTTTGTTCATTTAGTATGAGGTCGACTGTTGGTTTGTCATAGATGGCTTTTATCCGGTTGAGGCAATGACCATCTATTCCAATTTTCTGTAGGGCTTTTATCATGAATGAGTGTTGGACCTTGTGACAAGCTTTTTTTGCATCTCTTCAGATGATCACGTGGTTTTTGTCTTTGGCTCTGTGAGTTTGCATTTATTGAGCCTTGTTTGCATTTCTGGGATTAATCCCACTTGATCAAGATGTATAATCTTCTTGGGCTGGTGAGATGGGTCAGTGGTCTAAAGCACCTACTTAGAACAAACTTAGCAAACACAGGGGCCACGGTTCAATCCCCCAGCACTACATGCCAGCCAGCCCCGCCCCCTGGTGGGCTGAGCTGGCCACACACACACACACACACACACACATAAATAAATAAATTTTGAAAAAAAAAAGATGTATAATCTTCTTGATGATTTGATGCATTCTCTTTGCTAGTATCTCACTGAGGATTTTTTTTTTGCCATAATTTTATTGATAAACAAATAGCAATGAGACAATTTCAAATCAAATCGGTAGGACATAATTAACACACTGCATACATTCCTCTTAGTGGTTAATTGCTGTACAAGATGTGGACCTGACATCCTATTTACAAACACCATTAGAACAAATCTCATTGAGGATTTTTGCATCTCATTAGGGAGATTGTTAACTTGGGAGATTGGCCTGTAGTTCTCTTTTTTGTTGGGTTTCGTTATCAGAGTAGTGCTTACCTCCAGGAATGAGTTTGGGTTAAGTGCTTTCTTTTCAATTTCATTGAAGAGTTGGACAAGAGTTAGCGTTAAATCTTCTCTAATTTTCTTGTAGAATTCAGTTGTGAATCCATTAGGAACTGTGCTTTTCTTTGTTGGCTGTTTTTTTTTTTTTTAATTACATGTTCAATTTCATTCACTGATACTAGGTTACTCAGAATTTTTATATCTTGTTAATTCAGCTTTCATAGTTCATATATATCTAGGAATCTGTCATTCCTTCTGTGAGAGTAAAGATTTTATAAAAGATATTAATGATCTTCTGAATTTCTGTAGGGTATATAGTGAACCTTTTATTCTTTATTGCATAAATTTCAACTTTTCTTCCCTTTTTTTGATATGCTGGTTAGGGGTTTAACCTTTTTATTTATCGTTTCAAAGAACCAGGACCAGGGAGATAGCTTAGAAGAATAAGCACTTCCAGGCAAGCGAAGGTCGTGAGTTCAATCCCTGGGACCACAAAAAAAAAAA